TTATACAAAAGTCAGTTGATATGCTATATTACATGTAATTGCTGATAAGTCCATATTATGCAGACAACAATCCACACTGGGTAGCTCTAGGAATCTTGTTAAGCCTGATTTAACAACATCCCGCGTTTGTTTTTAAACTATAAACATTTAGAAATAGAACGTACCGAACACTATTATATACCCACCGCCTTTGGCTTTGCACATATTAAGTGACATAACAAACAAATAAACTAAAAGTTCATTTGCTTCTTGTATCAGCATAAAGGCATTAATCATTACTGTCGATTTGGTCGGGAATAGAACAGTGATTCAGTGGGTATTATAATTGCCGATATATTCTTGAAATCATTTTGTTTCAATGCCTCTATATCGAAGTTTAATACACTAAAGTGACTAAACAAGTATATTAGTATTAACAGCAGATTTAAATATAAATGCCTTCATGTATTATAAAATATATCACCAGACAGGTAGACAGGGCACACGGCACGACTACATCACTATACGAGAACGAAATAAAGCCATCCTTACCTGAATTATTCAAAATATTGTCGATCATTCTTGCGCCAGAGACACAAAATAACACCGTGCTTTATTTACCCATTCATTTTCACAAATATTACTCGGAATTTTTATGGAAATTCGCATTATTTTATGATTTTTATATTTCTGTCCGTTTATAACAGTCGCCATGTTGTGAACAAACCCCCCCGGGAACAAAAAAATAATATCAAAACAGCTAGTTTTGGCCCGTCCGTGGATGACAGAATGACATAAATCGAGATTGTAGCGGCTATAAACTCGGCGGTCACGTGGTAAGCACACCACGTGTAGAGATTAGTGTGCTGCCGAGCTACGCTCGGCAGCAATAATATAATAATAATAGGTTTATTAAGACTATGTTTAATGCATGGTACAGTATCTACGGTTTAAGTCTCATTTCTCTACCTGTCAGCTAAAAACTACATCAAAACTTACAAGTTTGAGTGCGTGTCCTCACCGCCAGAAATCTTGTCCTCACCGCCAGGAACCTTGTCCTCAGCGCCAGGAACCTTGTCCTCACCGCCAGGAACTAGCTTGTCCTCACCGCCAGGAACCTTGTCCTCACCGCCATAAACCTTGTCCTCACCGCCAGGAACCTTGTCCTCACCGCCAGAAACCTTCTCCTCACTCCTGCCAGGAACCTTGTCTCAGCGCCAGGTCCCGGGTTCCTCAGCGCCAGGAACCTTTGTCTCACTCGGCCAGGAACCAAGTAGCTTCGTCCCCACCGCCAGGAACCTTGTCCTCACCGTCAGAACCTTGTCCTCACCGCCATAAACCTTGTCCTCACCGCCAGGAACCTTGTCCTCACCGCCAGAAACCTTCTCCTCACCGCCAGGAACCCTGTCCTCAGCGCCAGGAACCTTGTCCTCAGCGCCAGGAACCTTGTCCTCAGCGCCAGGAACCTTGTTCTCAGCGCCAGGAACCTTGTCCTCACCACCAGGAACCTTGTCCTCACCGCCAGGAACCTTGTCCTCACCGCCAGGAACCTTGTCCTCACCGCCAGGAACTAGCTTGTCCTCAGCGTCAGGAACCTTGTCCTCAGCGTCAGGAACCTTGTCCTCAGCGTCAGGAACCTCGCGAAAGGCCTCCGAAGTTTTTACTCTTGTGCAATCGAGTGAGATCATATAAATTTGATTATCGCGTATCATGTTTATTATAATAATCACTATAATAATCACAGTTCACGAAACAGGCATCCTTAATTCTCATTTCATGGGCCATTTTTATCAACAATCTCGCCTCACGGCTGTAGAACAAATCACATTTCACGACACTAAAATCAAGCAATTCACATTTCACACGATCAAATATTCACCATTCACGGCTTACGAAAATACCCTTTCCCACCCTCTTTAAAAATGCGGGGAGAAAGTCACTTCATGCGTGATGCGTGAAAGCAAACAAAAATGCGGGAATTTCACGGTAATTGCGGGAAACTTGGAAGGTCTGGACATCATGTCAGTGTATGGTGGTTGGTTATATATAAGTACCCTGGTACTGACCAGTGGTAAGTCCATTGGTGCTGACCACTGCCACTGGCCCACCACCCACTGTACTCCAGTGCTTCCACATTAAAATTTTAAATTTCCATAATCCATATATGACCGCAAAAAATTCCATAAAATTAATGATCCCAATAACAAAATCTTAATATTATATGTAACACTTCATTGAAAATTGGACATTAACAAGTACTATAGTACAATTTGCAATATTTTCTGGACACTGAAATTTCCATAGAATTCCTATCATTATTCCAGTTCCACCAACCACAAAAACTTTAAAAAGTTCCATTTTTCACTTCAAAATGATAAAATATGGAAATTTCCATGAAAGTGGAAGCATCAATTGATATCTCTAGCGCATAAAGCCGAAATAAAAATAAAATTTCAGTGGCATTTTCGGATTCGAATGTAATTAATCTAATTTCATCGATTTTGGGTATGAACTAACCAGATTTCTTACTGTGAAATTTGTCACTCTGTTGAAGATATATTAAACAACATCACAGCGATTTCTATATAAAGTTTTGATAATAATTATTAATAAAAATGTCTGATCATTGTGAGCAGAGATTTTTAACATCAAGTAGCTCGGTGAATCAAAGAGGAACAAAAAATGGACAGAAACCTTTTGAATGCGATGTATGTGAGAAGAGATATAACAGATCAGATCATTTAGCTGTGCATAAGAGAACACACATTGGAGACAAGCCTTATGAATGTGATCTTTGCAAGAAGAAATTTTCACAATCAGGTAATTTAGTAGTACATAAGAGAACACACACTGGAGACAAACCTTATGAATGTAATGTTTGTAAAAAGAAATTTATGCAATTAAGCAGTCTTACTTGGCACAAAAAGGAGCATTTGTTTTGCAATAGTTGCCGCAAAGAGATTATTGAACCACAAGATTTTCAAGGACACTTTGTCGAGTACATTGGAAAGTACGGTTGTACTAAATGTAACAAACGATTCTCAAATATTTTGACATTGGTTCAACATATAGCGAGACACCATAGCAATGATGGAAACTATCAATGTGGTTTATGTCAAGAACTGGAATCAACAGAACCAACTGGTGTTGGATATGTTTGTTGTGTGTGCGATGTCGTGTTTGATGTTCCCAGAGATCTTGAAGATCACATGGCCACCCATGACTCAATGTGAATACTGTTGCCGGCTTTGAGTATGCAGCGAGTTTATGCATATATAGAACATTAAGATTCCAGTTTAAGTTTTATAATTATGAAATATACATTGGCATTTGTATCAGACTAGTTTTTTATATTTCTCATGCCTGTTATTTGACTGCTATGCGAGCTAGTGTAGATACCACTACATTGACAGAGATTTTTTATGTTCCTGAATATTTCATTAAATTGGATGTAATAATGGAAGAAAATAAAGTTGAATAATAGACAATTCCATTATAGACTAATTTTTTATCTTGGCAAAAAAGTATATTCCTGGAAAGAGCATACTAAAATTATTAAAATTGCAAAGTTTAGTTACAACATGTGGAAAATGTAGCCTTGCAAAGTTCGCAAGTTTTGTATTCTTAACTTGCAATCAATCCCATGAGAATTAGAAGATAATGGCATGGTGCCCATCATGGTTGGTGCCAAATTCAAAATGAATTCTTTTGTTGAAAGGGGACCAACATGGCCATCGCCCACATCAATGCAAGTCAATAATACTTTTGTATTGCGTACTGAAATTGCTACCACATTTGGGCCAAAAATGGTAGCAATTTCCTCATGCAATACGGAAGTATACAAAATTTTCAAGGCTCTATTTTCTGCATTTTTTTTTATTTTACTCATTATAGCATGCTCTTTCTAGCTGTGGTGATTTATTTGCATCTCTTTGTCTAGTTTTAAAATTAGTCTATAATGGGAATTGTCTATTAAAATGTTAAACAGAGTAGTCTCAAAAATATTCTACACAGCATGTCAACACTCAGTTGTCAAAATCAGAAATATTTTCCCAATGAAAATGCTCCTATATTCCAAAATCCAGTATACACACGAGCATGCCCAATTTACCCAAATCTAGTATACTCATGAGCAAGCTCATATATGCACCAAAATGTGTATTCTCTGCTTAGATAGTCCAGCCCCTAGAAGTTAAAATCTAAAGTTCCTAGAATAGGAATTCCTGCATTCTGGGAAAATATTTAACTGTGGTTTTTATGCATATCTTACATGATCCTTATTTGGGGGCCCCAGTTAGCTGGGAACCCAGGGCAAATTGTCTGTTTTGCGGCCGCCATATTACTACAGCCATTGTGCTGAGGAGAGGCCGTCACCCCTGAGAACATTCCAAATGGCCGGCTTGCCTCTTGTATTAAGCACAGTGGCTTTCCCCAATTTATTAAATTTTGAAAACCAAGTTTTGTAATAACGCTGGAAAAATCATCCTCGTCCCCAGGGCCATGTTCATTGCTCTTGCTCAGTGGCCCATCCTCGTTCCCAGGGCTTCTCGGCTGCTTGACGTTGTCATAAGCTGGGCATGACCAAGCACCTAACCTACGAACAGACATACTCCATACTCTGGGTACAAGATTGCCCTAACCGCTACCCTTGATAAATATCGAACGATCATGTGACAAGATTATTAATTATGCTATTACTTCATATGAGCCTGCATTACCTACCTGTTGAGGATTCTGTACAGTCTCCGGGATAAATAGCATCGTTTGTTGAAAGTGCTCAAATAGATATCATGTATTTAGGACCGGGAACCTAACCTCGACTCTAACCCTAATCTGATCTTAACCTAGCCCTAATTAATCTACTTAAGATCTGACACTAATCGAAACTTATGATGACCCTCCCCAGAACTTCCCACCCCAGCTCGACCTTCGTCCCTTTTAAGACCATTACATTTATAACAAAAAGTCTTGTTTAACTTGTGGGAGTTTCCCTGATTATCACGCGCACAAAGCCTAATGAACAAACAGACCAGCCGTTTCGCTATTTCTAAATGGGTACGTAGCCGGTATTCTAAATTTTAGAATGCCGTTAGCACCCATGCTAGGTATATACCTGAGCATCCTAATCCCAACCCCCAACCCGACCCTAACCCCTAATCCCTAGAACCTAACCCCTAAAACCTAACCCCTAAAGGGTTTTTGCCACCCCCACCCCGCCAACCGCCAGTTATGGCTGGTTTTATTTAGCATGGGTATTACCCGCATTCTAAAATTTAGAATTACGGCTATGTACCCATTTAGAAGTAGCGAAACGGGTGAACAGACCCTCTGAGAAAAACCCAAATTGATCGGAATTTGGAGTTTTATCATATACAAAAAAATCTCTTGTGGAGAGAAAAGGAAAATTTGAATCCAATCATGTCTGATCAGCGCGAAGCGAGGTATAAAAGAACGCACACTAGGGGTAAACGTTATGAATGTGATGTTTGTAAGAAGAAATGTAGAGATTCACGTCATTTAGCTGTACATAAACGAACACACACTGGAGACAAACCTTATGAATGCGATGTTTGTAAGAACGAATTTAGACATTCAGCCAGGGTTTATCGCCCAAAAAATAGAAAATGTAAAAAATTCAGATGAAGAATCAATGGGAAAATGTAAAATTAATAATGCTAAATAATAAAGTCTCCATCAACAACGGTAGCTGATATTTTATTCCATCACAAATAAAACAAAAAAAAAAGTTGTTACATGTGTGAGATACTGTTATTGTCATTGTTATAGACGCGGAATTTTCCAGAACATTCTATAAATATTCAATATAAATATAATATCTCAGTCAAACAATGACAACAGTAAACAGGGGCCCCCACACCAAATATGCCTAAGGGCTAAGGGTCCCCTCTTCCTCCGTTACGCCACTGGGGGACTAGTGCTTCCAGGGGCGTAGGAAGCTTCTAAAAGTTGGGGGGAGCAGGTTTTGAGGGGCACTTTTCGAAAAAAAAGGGCATCTAAAAATTTTTTCCAGGAAATGTTGGTGACGGGAGGGGAGGTCGTCCCAATAAATTTTTCCGGACATACCAAAAAAATTTTCCGGATATAGCACATTTCTCCTAAATATGAAAAAAATGTTCCGGACATACCGAAAAAATTTTCGGATATATGATATTTTTTCAGGAAAAGAAAAAAATTTTCCGGAAATAACATAGATTCAAGTTTTCAAAATTCAAATTGACATTTTTCACGCAAAAAAAGGGCACTTTGCTCCCGGAAAAAGGGCACTTGGCAAAACTTGGAGGGCCTGGCCCCCCCTGCCCCCCCCCCGGTTCCTACGTCCCTGGGTGCTTCTCGTATTAATTAAAGCGCACTGGCTTTCCTCGATTTAGTAAATTTTGAATACGACGGCCAAAACAAACTCCTTCAAATAAATGGTGGAAAAAATTATTCGTCGTACATTATCAATCGTATGAATTTAATACAGTCTTAGAAGTTGAAGACATGGGTTTATGGTTGGGAAGAGTTCTTCTGAACCCAGTTTGAAGTTGCACTTGTTAATTGCGGCTTGAAATGCAGCCGTTGTATGAAGACGTGAAAATCTGTGATTTAGCGTTGTAAACAGAGCGAGGACAATGTATAAGTTATTCATATATTGTAAAAATTCAATTCTTTTCAATGATCTATTGTATTGGTAGCCGTTGCCGTCGCGTTGCCGTCCTAAAATCGTAATTAGAGAGTTTGGCAACCTAGAACGGTAACGACAACGGCAAAAATATAATTGCGTATATTGTTGTATTTGAGCCAAAGTATACGTTACTACAATTAATTTGCCTCTTTACAGTGAAAATACAAAAAGTGTCCCACTTCCGCTTCTGTAGTTTGTTGTGATTTACTGTAAATTTGTTCTGTTTTTCTGTAGCGATTACCGATTTATCGACAAATACCGCGATAAAACTTAGTTTTTTTCTCTTTTTAAATATGATAATTTGTAGCAAAGGGAAATAATACATTTTTCGTTAGTTTCATTGCATAAAAGAACGGAATCTAAATTTTATCGCAGTATTTGCCGATAAATCGGTAATGCAGGTATCAGCGGCTTTCCCGGGGGGTCGACCCCCGGGCCACCCCGGGGATTTGTCAAAACAGCCTTGACAAAAGGACACTAATGCCCGTGGGTTGGGGCAAAATTTTGTCACAAATGCCCCTACCTCCGGGGCGAAATTTGGAAAACAATAATTTCAAATATAACAAATGGTTATTTACAAAGAAATTTGTAGTAAGTTAATATACTTATTAACATAATTTTGGGCATCTCGTTCAATAAACAGCGGTTTGCCTCGCCTCCCTAATTTTCGTTGCCCGCACCTCAACCCCAACCCTTAAAACTGCCGGCTACGCAGGCTAATTGGACATGAAACATAACATGTTTGGACTTCAAACTTTACATGATTTTGCTGGAAACATTTGACGGTTTACAATTATTTTTTCCGCGAAAACGTAACAAAGTTAGTACAAACATTGCAAACCGCAATACTGAATTTGTCCACTATAAACACAAAATATAAGGCCTGTTTCATACGTCGAATTTAATTCAGACGAATTTAATCACGGATTTAGTGTTTGCAAGCTAATCCCCGCCCAATATGAATGTGTTTCTAAATTTGAAATATTGACAGTTGACTGTGAGTGTCAATATTTCAAATCCAAATTTCAAGTCCATCGTTTTCTCATGACATGTTTCTGCTTTATAGTTGCAATCAAAATGCTTCAAAATGCTTCGAATTTGCTTCGAACTTCGAAGGTTCGAAGCGTCTTCAAAAATCATAATTAAGAATTTTTGATGAATCACCGCTGACCGATATAGCAGCAGTCCATATTATGCAAATCCCGGGTGTTTGCCCCCGGGGTTAATTTTCAAAATACAAATGTAGGCTAAATCCCGGGTCTCCGGGGCGTGATTTTAAAACAAATTCCGTGCCATGCCCGGGGGTTGCCCGTGAGTTGCCCGGGGGTCGACCCCCCGGGAAAGCCGCTGATACCTGCATAATCGCTACAGAAAAACAGAACAAATTACAGTAAATCACAACAAACTACAGAAGCGGAAGTGGGACACTTTTTGTATTTTCACTGTAAGTATTCCTGTTTCTTTCAAACGTACGAATTCAAATAAAACACCTCAAATATTACATCGGACGAATTAACTGTTGCCGTAGTCATGCACCGTGAAAATGATGCAAATCACGTACTAGTTTCAACAACTACGGCATTGCACAACGCTTAAGACCATGTAATTTACATTCGCCTTTGTCTTTGAGGATTAATGCTATTGTTGATGACCATATTGCCGTTGCCCTTGTATTTGCCAAACTCTCTATTAAGGTCTCTAGTAACCACAGGCCAAAAATCTGGTCACACTCAGTGTTTCCACAACGCATCATTGAAATTTCCTTGATTTTGCTTTA